GGGTGTTTTAGAGTTATCTTTTAGAGACACATATGAAATATTTATGGATTAAATGATTTACACCTGGCTGGGCATGGTGGCTCATGCCTGTAATCCCAACACTTTGGGAAGCCAAGGCAGGCTGATCACTTGAGGTCAGGAGTTCAAGACTTGCCTGGCCAACATGGTGAAACCCTGTCTCTATTAAAAATACAAAAATTAGCCGGGCATGGTCATGGGGGCCTGTAATCCCAGCTACTCAGGATGCTAAGGCAGGAGAATCGCTTGAACACGGGAGGCAGAGGTTGCAGTGGGCCAAGATCATGCCATTGGACTCCAGCCTGGGTGACATGAGTGAAACTCCATCTCAAATAAATTAAAAAAATGAAAATTAGGTCAGGTGCAGTGGCTCGTGCCTGCCTGGGCAACAAGAGTAAAACTCCATCTCAAATAAATAAATAAACGAAATCAAATGAATTTAGGCCAGGTGCAGTGGCTCATGCCTGTAATCCCAGCACTTTGGGTAGCTGGGGTAGGAGGATTGCTTGAACTCAGGAGTTCGAGACCAGTCTGGGCACCAGAGGGAGACCTCATGTCTACTAAAAAAATAAAATAAAATAAAAATTAGCCAGGCATGGTGGTACATACCTGTAGTCACAGCTACTCAGGAGGCTGAGGCAGAAGGATCACTTGAGCCCAAGAGGTGGAGGCAGCAGTGAGCTATGACCATGTCCGTGCACTCCAGCCTGGGTGGCAAAGCAAGCCCCTCTCTCAAATTAATTCCTTTTTTAAAAATGAAAAATTTAAAGAGTTGAACATACTTGGTTTTAATGTGATAATAACCCTAAATCCTGTGGACCGTTCAGACTGCCTGCTATTTAACAGTCATGTACAGATCAATGTAACAGATACTCATAGATCCTTAGCTTTATGTCAGAAACATACATTTCCTGCCGGGCATGGTGGCTCACACCTATAATCCCAGCACTTTGGGAGGCCGAGGTGGGCAGATCACAATGTCAGGAGTTCGAGAACAGCCTGGCCAATATGGTGAAACCCCGTCTCTACTAAAACTACAAAAATTAGCTGGTCGTGGTGGCAGGTGCCTGTAGTCCCAGCTACTCAGAAGGCTGAGGCAGTAGAATCGCTTGAACCTGGGAGGCAGAGGTTGCTGTGAGCAGAGATCACACCATTGCACTCCAGCCTGGGCGGCTCAGTGAGACTTCGTCTCAAAAAAAAAACAACATACATTTCCCAGGTGCTGCAGGAGGTGCTGGAGTAACAAGGACAGACGTGATGCCTGCCCTGCAAGAATTTGAGTCAGACATACTTGAGGTTTGGAGTGGGACCAACCATGCAGTAAACACTGACTACAAATGAATCTTGGCTGGTACCAAATACCCCGATTTCGCAAGGCAGGGATTTTATTGGCATCTCTTTCTTAGTTTTATGGGTTTGAGTTGAATCATGTCAACCATGTGGTTAATAAATGAGAGATTTATTATTATTACTACTCCTAATAATTTCTACTAACGGTAATTTTTAAATCTTGATAGATTATAATTTTTCCCAGGACATGCAGCCTTTCATAAGTATAACTATCTCACTGATCATGTAGCTCAATTGCAACTGCTGGGAGCTGCTGCCTTCCTGCTTGCTGAAGTCACCTGTCGCTTTGCCCCCAGCCATCTAAGGGCCTGTCTCCTGGTTCACTGAGCAGACAGGCTGGCCCTGAGCTCTGCTCTGCTGTGTGATGGTGGCAAAATCTGTCCAACGCTTTTCCTATCTCTCTTTTTATTCTACAGCAGAAGTATTGGGAGGCCCTAAACTCGGAGCAGGTATGGACAGTCATGCTCTTTCTCTTCCAGGAGGGGTTTACCTATGGCTTGATTTCAGTCCCTGTTTTTGTGAGACCTCCTTAGATGACTGGCCCAATGACAAATTCCTTTAGTAAAAGAAAAAATGTCCGCCAGGCACAGCGGCTCCCGCCTGTAATCCCAGC